TTAATAAAGAAACTAACTCAACTGAAGTAACTAGCTCAGACAGATACCGAAGAGTGAATCAGCTTGAGACCCTCACTATTCTAACAGAATAGAGTCCGGTGCAGAACATGAAGCTTATTAACACTCCTTAAACATAGGAGAAAGCTAATTTTTTAAAGCCTCATGTAAAATTCTCCTTCCCTATGAAATTCAGCTAACCCTCCTCTGTAATACAAAAGAGATTAAAAGTGAAAAGAAAATTGCCTTTCCTTGTTGTCAGACCTTTGGTGCCTCTGCCTTTCGTAACCCATGAAACATGGCACTACTGAACATTCAGAAAATTAGAATCACATTTTGTGTTAGAGCAAAAAGCTTTGAAATTCACCTTATTGTCAATGTTAAGTTACGAGACACATTCTGGATAGAAAAGGCACATAACGCAAACCAGGCTTTTAAATTCAGATCAAGATGTTTGACTCCAGTTCTAATTCATGCCTGTTTCTGTGTTTTCAGGCGGATATGCAATTTTAAGATACAACAAATCGATCTTTCGGCAAATGAGATTAAGCAAGAGTCCGCAAAGCCCCTTTATAGACTCATGCTTAATCTGGAAAAAAGAGGCCAATCAAGGGAAAATGATCTCAACAGCGGAGCAATTACCAGTCTGTGTTACTGCTCCAGCAGCTCCAACTAGACATCGCTTTAGCATCTGTAGGAATCAATCAAAGCTTTGCAAATTTATCTCATTAAAATGGCCTTGCTTCGTGACACATAGGGGTGAAATGACAATAAAGAGGTTTGTGCTGAAAAGTAAAAATTAGGGATTTTCCTTGGATCAAACTGAAAAAGTGGGTTATAAGACCTATAACCCCCATTTCAGACAGACATGAGCCCTTCACAGGCAGACTGGGCAGCTTAAATATGTATATACTACACACGACCTGCAAACATACACTATACCTCCACATGATGCATTGTACTCATTAAAAATAAATCAGCCTCTCACACACCAATGACAAAAAAACATCAGGCAGCGAGCTGGATTTCCTGCATATTCACCTATCTGGTTAAAAGTGCCAAAAGACACTTATTTGACATAAAGAGACAAACTGCAACACACGAGTTTCTAATCTGGGGACTGTAGACAAGGCTCTGGTCTATCTCTGGACTTCAGACATGGGCCTGACCCTCCAGTCCAGTTTAAAAGTGGTTTCAGAGAAGTGGCTTCTCACTCTTTCTCATGAGGTCTCTCATGGGCGGTGTTGATTTTACGACAGGCCTCCCCCTAGGTTCAGAACCTCAAGCGGACAGAACAGCACTTTGAAGGACAAGGAAGGGCCGAGCTGGCAAGTGACTCCGAGATGGTCTCAGTCTGGGAGCGAGCTACACGCATCCCCGGCAGGGAGGCTACATGGTAGTCCTTCTGTGATTTCTGTTGAGCAAGAGATATTTGAATTCAATTTAAAAGCTTATTATGGGACACATTTGCATCTGTATTGTGGGCTGACAGGTTCAGTTTCTATTTTGTACTAAAGGGGAGCACAGGCCTCCATCACAACAACTTAGCCTCCGTTTCTCAAAAAAGCTCCTCCAGCTCCACCATCCTCCCGGCTCTGAGCTGAAAGCAGCTGTCTGGGAATGTGGGCCAGCAGTGCAGGAGGAACAGGGGGCCTCCTCTCCTGAAAGTTGCTTCACAAGGCAGCGCGAACCATGTTTCAGCAAACGCAGGCACATCGATTAAGAAAAAGAAAATGACTGAAATACGGACTTGTCTTATTGTACAGAAGTAAATAAAGATAAGATTGGAAGAAAATAAAGCAAAGAGAATCCCTGGCATCCCAGCTTTTTATTCTGTCAATACTTCCTTTTTACATCTCACACTTTGGCTTATCTGTACTGAGAGGACGGTGCTGTATGTAGGTTAACTTGTTCATTTCCTGCGTGCACCTCCACTTCTCACCACGCAGGACACTTACATCGAGTCGGTGCAGTGCTGCGCGTTAATCACACCCATCTGCCGGCTACCGTACAGCTGCTAGTTCAGAGACGAACGTGTGCTTTTATCAAGACAGGAAGCATTCAGCGTGATGGTGACTCCAAACACTCGTGCAAACCCCTTGCACTGAAACAACAAGGCAACACTGGGACAGGCACAAACGAGCACAGCTTCCCAGCTACGACCCACAGGATGTAACCTAAATGTTTCAGAAAACACACAATGATGCACAACTTAGACAGCTATGTTATCCACTCAGACACCTTGGTGACCACTTCGCTCTACATCGCCAGTTGTCCCAAAATCAATCTTCATTCCGCAATTCCTGCCCAGACTTAGCAGCTCACAACTAATGCAGTTTCTTGGCACACACCCTCGATGCCCCTCCACTGCTATTTCTTCTGCTTAGATTCTTGTCAGTGTGCGGAATGAAAAATGTATTAAAAACTGCCTTCAGAAAAAGCTTCCCCGAGGTGGACTGGTGACATCACAAAAGGCTCTTCTGGGGAAAGCATGCACTTTAGACCTGCAACAAACTATAGAGTTCGGACCTTAAGGTTGAGGGATTAGATATAGGGACAGCAGGTTTTTTTTTTCAGAATGGATGGTGAGAAAACAAAGCAGAAAGCACAAGTGGGAACTACGTGGAAGTGTATATATAATTAAGAACAGGGGGAAATTCTTTACACAAAGAGTGGTGGGAGTGTGAAACAGACCCCTCAGCGTCTTGTTGAAGCCACTACTCTGGCTGCTTTCAAAAATGTCTGTGGAAGATCCTGGGATCAATTAGCTATCAAACACCAAAACGGGTCAGATGTGCTGGATGGTGTGCTCACACTGGTAATGTTCTGCGTGTCCCTGTAAAGTGCAGTGTCCTGACAGGAGAGTCTGTGGGCCTCCAGTGCTGCTGCCTCCTGATCTCCAGCACACCCAGCAGTGAAGAAGACAGGCAGTGTTAGCCGTGATGCAGAGGCAGAAATCGAAGGGGAGGAGCAGCTCTCAGGCCTGGGATCCCCCGAGGGCTGTTTTCTTTCACTGGGAGGTTTTGTTTTCCTCTCCTCTGTGCCCACATGGTCAGCTGTCATTTTACTGTCAACTGCAACTCAGATCTGTAAAGCACTTTAATGTGGCCAAGTATTGTGAAGGGCGCTATACCAAAAAATAACTGATTAACCCATTGATTGAACTGCACATTACCTGTCCCAGGGGTCCACTTGCGCTTAACCGGAGCCTTACCCAGACTAACAGGCTCCTCAGATCAATCTTTACTGAAGTGGCGCGATTTCAAGTTTTCTAGGCACCCCAAAATCTCTGACTGTTTCAGAGCAAAAACGTTAAAAGAGTAAGTCAGTCAATGTTCACAAGAGCTCAGCTGGAAGGCCGGCCAGAATGCCTGAAGGCCAAGGACCCCTGACCTGCTGCGGGGGTCAGGAAGCACAGACCCCTGTTCCTCTGTGCCTTCGGACAGGAAGACACTGGCACACACCTGGCAGTAAGCTGCTTTTTGGGAATGACAGGGAAACAAATTAAAGAATTAAGCAATGGGTAATGCAAGCAGACAGAAAGTAAACCATTATGTACCTCTTCAATCTATCAAACTACAACGCAGTAAGAGGGAGAGTACATAACCAGAGCACTGATGTGAGTGTCTGCTTCTGCAGAGAGGTATAGAATAGTATCTCTGTGTATCACACCTGTCTGTTAAGGCAGGCAAATTAAACAAACTCCCACCCAGCTATGACAGAAAAATCTGTTTCACCTGTTTCACTGACATGGAACAGCTTTTATATGCCTGGCAGCTGAGCAAATACTTCCCAACACTGACCTTATCTCTCAGCCCTTTTCTACTTTAAATAAACTACTCCTTTAGCGGTAGCAATTCTGGGTAAACACAAAGACAGGTCTATTACCTTCACTATCAGATACGTCTTTTGTTTCGCCATAACCCTGAAAAATAAATCCACACCCCAGAGTGTGTAAACTCACACCCACCCTGGAAATTAATCACTTCCCAAAACCATTTAAATGTAATGACTTTTTAAGGTGTACTTCTGCCAGACCTCTCCACCCTGAGCGAAGCTTGGAATATTCTACACTAGGTTCATTAGCATAGAAACACATCATACAAATTTGTTTCAAACGTCCGTAAACTTCATGTCTTTGCGACGGTGATGGCTTCAATTCTGCATGGACCACTCAGTGATCACTCAGTGTACTCAGTGTATACCTTGCTCAGTGAGCCAAACAAAGATCAGGCGTATACAGCTTTTTTCCACACACTTTCCCACGTACGAGCGGCATATCCATCAGAGGTACCTTCTAGCCAAAATAAGCCCAGCGTCTTTGTAAAAAAAAAAAGTTGTAAATGTCAAGCCAGTATACAGTTACATCCACAAGATGCCAAGTTCAAGAATAAGATGGGGACACTAAAAACGTCCCCCCTCTGTCACTGGCACCGACTTTAATAAAAGCCCGTCAACGTTTTGGACCGTTGAACGCATTGCACTGTTTGGCAGACTCGAAATGAGGTCACGCACGCTTGATCACGACAGCGTACGTGTATTAATTACATGATTTTCTTTCCGGCAGGTAAGGAGAGTTGGAAAAGGGGTCGCCGGGGCCCGCTTTCCAAAGGGAGGGACAGCTCAGAGCGCCCTGGAAAAGCGCCGCGCAGATCCCAGCTCGCCGGGGAGGACGGCAACATGCTGGCACACGCCGCGGTGCCCGTCCTAAAAATAAACCGCCCGGTACGCGACTTTCTACAAACGTGCATTTTCAGGAGGGCCTCTGAGGACAGGCTGTGAAAGCAACAGGGCACGGAATATGGTCTCCTCACGACTTCGGGACTCGGGCAGTGGAAAACACGAGGTGGTGGTGGTGGTGGGGACGTTTGGGAGAGCAAGTGCAAACCCCTGTACAGCTCACTGCGCCGGGCTGCTCGCCCGCTGACGTGCAAAGCAGTGTACCTGACCCCTTCGCCAAAGGCCAGCAATCCCTCACGGCCGAATGCAAGTTCTGTACTTACCCCATAAGCCAATCCATGACTGCTGAAGAGACAAATCCACTGCAGGCTGGAGGCGCCCTCCTGCTTATCAGTATCCCAACCCCAATCCCGCTTGTTATTCAACTTCTTTCTCCGGGTGCCGGCTGTGTCGCTCCAGTGTCAGCTCGCTCTGCAGCGCCTGATGGCGAGGTGTGGGGTCGCCAACAAGAGCATGAACCGTGTCAGCGGAACCGGCGCTGCACCCGAGGCGGGCGAAGGGAGATCTGCATTGACTTGAGGTTAAGACGGTGGTGCTCCGATTGTCCCCCGTTGCCCTGCTCTGAAGGGTAGGCGTTCACCCCCGGCTTGTCGCGGCTCCCCCTCTGCGGATCACAGGACCGGCAGATGCAAGTCCCGGGTACCGCTGATTTGTCCTCGGTCAAGAACCCTGTGCCCAGATCTTCAGCCGCTGCCGCTGTTACGTTCTGGCTCCTGCATCACAGGAAATCCGGAAGTAAACATAGATCCACCCCCCGCTCCTTCCCTCCTTCGCCTTATTGCCCGGGACGTCTTCCGTCCCCGGCACAGGCGACCGAGTCCCGCACAGACTTGTGGGACTTGTAGTTTTTATTTCCAACGCGCTGAAGTCTCGGGGTTGCTTCCCCTTCGAAATTACGTCATTCTATTCAAGTGCGTTGAGCCGCGTGTGGCGGGCGTTTTGCATGAGTTAGACTTTAAGTTTAAACTAATATTGATAGTAAAATAGCAAAACAAACTTAATATGAAATACCAATAAATATGTAACACAAAACATCCTTAACTCGATTCAGAGCCAAAAGGAACAATATACAGTATTACCTCCATATCAATTTTATTATAAAGTATGGTGTCTATTCATATAAACAAAACCCATACTGCGGTTTCTTTGAAGAAACAGCTGGATCAGATTATTGGATCAATTAACTACTATCAAATGGGCCAGAGGGTTGACTCAGGATGGACACCGAGTGGCAGAGAATGTTTCAAAGTATAGAGAAAACTGTTTAATTAGACTCGTTAGAGGTCTGTTAAACCTGAATAATGACTTGATTTGACCACATCTAGAATACAATGTGCTGTTCCATTCACAGAATTTTCAAAAACGATATAGCAGGATAACAGAGTCACCACCTGCAAACACTCACAAAACCTGCTAAAACGTTAACAGAGATTTAAATCATGTTACAAACGCCACAAACTGATGTGTAAATAGTTCATGCGAGAGATTTACCTGTCGTTTAAGATATGAGGGGCTGAACCACATTTATGGCCAAATTGTGAAATTTAGAGATAATGTCAGCGCCACCTTTCGATTTACAAAAAAAGTTCCCGGGGCATTCAGTCTGTCAGTATACAGCCGATGTGAAATGAGTGCCTGCCACCTTCTGGGGAACTGGGGGATACGCATCGAATCGACCACGTTTCTGATTTAACGATCACGACTGACATCTTCATATGCGCCTGCTATTAAGGTACTTGCGTCACTGTGAGACATGCTGTAGCGTCTACAGTATATCAGTGGAATAATCATGCTTTGTGGTTTTTGGACTGCAGAAAGAATAGAATAACAGTAAAAAGGTAAATTGATAAATACACAATACTATTTCCAAATCATGATCATCCCGGGGAACTGTAGGTGAAAGGTTTGTTGACCAGCATTAAGGTTGTAAAATTAAAACAGGACAACATATGTCCCAAGCAGAGTTACATCATCAGTTTATTCTCTTCTTGTCAGCCAAAGCATGCAGGTGTAGAACAGGACATAATGCATTTTTATACAAAAATTCGTATTCTATATTCTGGTCGCTTGCAGATTAGAATGGCATATCCTTAGCAATAATATTATTTATGGTACCTGAAAGTTTCAGGTTGTTGCACAAAGCTAAGGTATGCGTATACGTGATCTGACAACTGGAATCAATTTCCTGTCGTTAAAGTCTGTTTATTTTTAATTCTCTTCTTGTCCGCGGATTGGAGGGTCTGAACAGCCTCTTGTCTTTGCTAACGAGCAAGATGTGTGAATAAACAGGACCAATGTCCTACCGTGGGTAAATTAAAACAAGAGTAAAAAATAAACATGCAAATGCACAAATTTCAGAGATGTTCCTTTAGATTAGCTAATTTAATCGAGTCCAGTGATATTTAAGCAACAACTTCCGCTTCACAAACGATACCCAGGTTGCGTGCTGACGTGTTTTAGTTAAGAGGCAAAGTAAAAACGTTACACGTCTGAAAGTGTCCAGCTGAACAGGGGTCATTTGTCAACTTTACAGTTACACTGGATAGGAACCAGGCGAATATGTTACCCTCAGCCCTGTTGAAATGGTGTAGCGTGACCTTGTCAGTGAAATGAAGAGTAATACACCGGTTATACATTTTCTTTTATAGACAACTGAGACTGAGAGGCAGGCTGTTGCAGGGGGATAGCTAACAGAGTGCATTTCCTGAAATGGCGCAGGCAGATGCAGGCAGAAGGTGAAGGTGTGCACATTGCACAGTGTGATATTGCACCTGTGAATGTCAGCAATGTTAACCTTAAAACCTGGACGAATCACAGTGGAACCTGAGAAGCATACACATCAGAGCAGGCTGCTCAGCCTGTTCGGCCCATTCGGCATCCTGTTGCTAACTGATCTGATGATCTCATCCAGCCTTTTCAGGGCATAAGCTTCAGGGTTGTGTAGCCTGCTCCAGGCTCTTTCAGCCCTTGAGTAAACAAAACCATGCCTCCCTCCTGTTCTCACTTTCAAATGCACGTCTCTGTCGTTCCCACTTGTGGTTCGTGAGGCGCAGCTCATTCTGAGGACACTGAGGGGTAGAGCTGGTCTTGAGGGTGGATTTCACCGTGGTCTGTGTGGATTGTCAGTATTGGAATCAGGGCTCCATGTAGTGTAGGCTCTCTTTTCCAGACTAGAACGGTTTACTGCCTTAAGTCTTGTCAGAAAAGTACTGCCAGGAAATAATCTTATTTCTCTTATTTCACATCAGCAATATGTTTTGTGTAACATTGTGCAAACAATTTTCTATACGAGGCCTTACAAATATGTTATACTATTTTAAAGTAACATCCTTCAACTTCAAGTCTTTATTGTTTCTATATATCTTCTTTCCAATTAGTTTTGTGTCCATGTTAAGTTATTTGATATTTCCTATCCTTCCAATCCACTAGGCGTCACTATGGTCCTCAGTGGGAAACAGTTTTTGTTATTCCAAAAAGTAATTTACATCAAAGGTGGACAGTGTGTTTGCAATTACCATTATGCATCTCTCTCAATAACGCATTAATGATCAGATTGAAAAGAAAGGAGAGAGTGTAATGTGAGAGACACAGACATTTATTTAGAGGGATTTTGTAAATAAAAAAAAAAGCTTAATAAGTAAAATTCTCCTCTAACCTGCCAGGCCACACCAGAGCCAATTTTCCCAGAAGCTAAGTATGTCTTTGGACTGTAGTGGAAACCAGAGCATCTAGAAGAAACTCACACAAGCACAGGGAGAACTTACAGACTCCAGACAGAGAGCACCCTACATCTGTAATTGAACCCAGGTCCCCAGCACTGTAAGGCACCAATCCCAACCACTGCACCACCATGCCACCAATCTTAGCTCTTTTTTGTGTAAATTCACCAGCTTTTCACATACAATAAGTGGACCTTTCCCAGAGCTGAAGGAGGGTGTGACTGAGAGATCTGCAAATCCTTCTGGACTCTGAGTACAGGAGTAATCTCAAACCCTTAGGCAGGGGTGTCCAGTCCTGTTGCCTGACAGCCTCAATCCAGATACCCTTGAATGTCACCCTAAATATCCTTTTATAATTAGAGAATGGTTAGGAAAACTTTTTTAAGCAAATTATCTATTAGGTAAGTAAGGTTGTAATAAAGATCACTTATCATGGAGGACTGGTATTGAGTAATATTCTAATTTGTGTTCCAAATCATCTCAATTAATGACTTAATTGAACACACCACCTGTTTATGTTTAACTGTTTAATGAATTGTTTCTTAATTAAATGATTTAATAGCTAAATTGTTCCAGGCCTTTAAAGATTGTTTTACTTCTGAAACCAGCTGGGCTGGGGTTGGACAGTCCCTGCTGAGGACCAGAGTTAAAGACTACTGATCAGGGAAGATGTTTTTGTCCAACTCTCTCCCATGCTGCTATTTGACACATTAACATCCCTGGGCTGGACAAAGTTATTTTAAATGGGTGAGGCCTGTTGCATCTTTAAAATCTATTGTTTGCATAGTTCGCTTGTGATAATCTTTCAGGCTTGCGGAGCAGAATCAGTCCTTGAAAGGATAAATCTCTTGATAATTCTTCGGTGTTGTTACTCCTAGTGAACTCTTAGTTAAGCGTATTGAAGGGTTTAGGGAGAGTTTTAGTCACAGTAAATTTGGCTTAGCCTGCTGGGGCTGAGAGACAAGCTCCTGGCCACAGGATGAGGCGGCAGGACCCCTCTGGAGTGAGGAGTGACCAAGGGGCAAGGGATACACTAAACGTGTGGGAGAGAAGTCACTTATATATTGGATTCATAGGTTTGTTCTGTCAGGAAATAAGGTCAGGAATGTTTACAAATTACTGACAGCTGAAGCTGCTTGAACTTCTCTGCGGTAGAGCGTATTCATATAGATCTCTTGAAAGATAGATCTCGTCCATGGCCGTGCCCTATAAATGCTCACTGATTTAAAGATGAACAAAAGCAATGGAAGCAATGGAAAACTAGTTTGTCAGTGTCTTTCACTTGTGCCCTTACAAAGTCTTATTCCCCAAAAAGTGCTGATGTTTCCAGTTAATACTTACTTGACTTTAAACGACGACATCTCGAATGTTGTATTAACGGGGCGGTTTGAGGTGTTAGGTTTCTCAAGAGCTCAGTCCGGGCATCAAGGCTGGTGCCTCCGAGATGACCGCAGAGACATGCAGCGCCGTCCCGTTCCTTTCCCCCGCCAGGGCAGACAAGGTCGTTTCCTGTTATTGATACACGGACCCCAATCAATACGGACACATCCGCAGAGCCAGCACTTTACAGCAGCTCAGCTCATTCTGAAGGATGAGCTCACTGCTGGGGGACCTGTTCCATTCACAACTACAGCCTGTCTCTCTCAATGGGCTGCGCAGTTAGCAGCTCCTGCTGGATAGACAGTTCCAGTGTGCTTTTGTTGTCCTCTAATCCGAGTCATTTTCTTAAAGAATCAGTTACTTCTCTGTTTTCTTTCAAATATTGGATCCGTTCTCTCTTTAGTTATTATCATTCGGGCGAGAAAGGCATTGAGCAATTTCTAATGGTGTAAAATATTAATTAACAAGACAACTAAATTTTCTTAAGCAAAATATAGCACCAATGTGAAACCAGAAAAGTAGTCATGAAAGCTAAATTACTCTAGCCATGGGTCATTATCTCTGTACTTTAAATTTGACCAAACACAAGGTTGTCTCTAAAACAAGGTAGATCTCTTGTCCATGGCCGAGCCCTATAAATACTCACTGAG